CTCGCGCTGCCCGCCGGACAGTCAGGAGGGATTCTCTCCCCGGTGCCCTCTCACCTGCTGGCTTCCATTCAAAGGTCTCAGCTCGGTGTGTTGAAAGCTGGGTAAAATTACGGAAGGGAGGAGTTCTGATTGTGCCCAAGCTGTAAACTATCAGAAAGTAGTTTTGTCCCCTGAAAGTCTAAATGATGAAACTCATCTACCCAAGGGTGCAAAGATTATTAGCTCCACCAGTCCAGTTTAAAGATTCCTGTCAACTTTCCAAACAAGACTGTAGGAATGGAAAAGGCTGGTTTTGAAACTTTTGGAAACCTGTTGGAATCTTCGCGTTTGAGGGTGTGTGGGATCGAGAGGAGCGGAGTGCGTGGGTGTAGAGTGCCCTAGAGGTTGGTGCGTATGTGTCCTTCACATGCTTGCTGTAGCCGCTCCTGGCGCAGGGGAGTGCCTCATTATGTGATGAAATGATCAGCCTTGGAGGCTAAAAATTTGAGTCCTGCCAACCTAAAATGGGCTTGAGCTTGTGTTCATGTGGAACACCCAGGGCACATCAGTGATTTGTTACAAGTTGAGGTGAAAATAGACTGAAAGCCTTTCCAAGCAAACTTCGTGGGAGATTAAAAAAAAAAAAAAGTTGCATGCGGGCTTTCATTTTCTTTTATTGTTGTGATTTATATAGTGTTGACTGTAAACACCAATAAACACACACAACTGCTTACATAAAATCCCTCGTTGAAACAGGTGTGAAACGTGGAGGGGGTGCCACAAGGGGGACAGGCTGGGAGAAGGTGTCAAGTGGGAGAAGCGCAAGCAAAGTCTAGGTGGGACTTCCCGTGCCGTGTGTGTGCAGATTACTCTGCTTTGCTGGGACTTCCCGTGCTGTGTGTGTGCAGATTACTCTGCTTTGCTGGTCTGGGGGCCTCTCACCCTCGAGTTGATTTAACTCTTGGACGTCTTCCACACCCCTCTATCTCCCTCAAAGCTTCTCCTTTCCCCTTGGCCCGCAGCACTCCTGGATGCCCAGGGTCATCTTAGTTGGTCGGAATTGGATGCTCCTTTGGATTGCAGTAGACTTCCATTTTGGAAAATTCAGCTATTCGTGTTGTTTTAAAAATCCACGGCTCTATTTTGCTTCCGTGTCTGCCAAGAATCCCTTTGATACAAGTGCTTTACAGGAACAACTTGACTTCCAACTTCTACCTTGAATCCACAACTGGGGGGCAAATGAAGCCACTTTGTGAGTTGAAAACAGGCGAACCTTGCCTCTCTGTTGCTGTTTTGTAACAGTCTCCACTCAACTGAAGGCTGATCTTTTATTCTTATGAACACTGTCGGTGTTCTTCCCGGTTTCATTTTATTTTTAAGAAGCAGAGTCTAATAATTAACCGCAAGTAGGTTCTTCATTTGAATCCAGGGCCAATGGCCTCCTAAGTAGTGCTAACTACATTACATTTTAATTCAGCGGCCCCTCGTTTTTATCATAACAAAATTTCCCCTGGAATAAGTGGGCTAAGCCCAAACACATTTCTTTGGAAGGGTGTTTTCTGTCCGGTGAACTGTTTCCACACCTCCTCCCAGTTAGCAAAATACAATGTTTCATTCACAAGGAGGGGCAGTATATGCAAGCTAGACGTGGATTTAGAGCAGTTAAGTTTATAACCAAGGAAAAGTGTGTGGAGGGGTGCACAGGACCCCTCTTGAGTCAGTAATTGATGTCCCTTTATCAGCCATCACCTTACTGCATCCACAGCTGGGACAACTTCAGTTTCCCCCTCTGCTCAGCCCTCTGAAAAGAAAAAGAGACAGATAGTGCTGGTCAAGTCCGTTTTTTTGTGTGTGTTATTTTTGTCCTTTTTGTGAGAATGACAGATTGTTTTCGTTTCCAAATATTCCTAACGATTTTCTGCTCAAGTGTAAGATAACGCAAAGAGTTTGTAGGAATGGCGGTGAGCAGTGGGGGAGGGGAAGGCATCGAGATAAACGGTTTGTTGCTCACGGGAGGGTAAGATATTTCTGCTCACTCTCCAAGCCGAGATTCTCCATACCCCCCCCCAACTTTTCCTTCTTCTCTTTCTGGTTTTTTATTTGTCTGTTTTTCAAAGAAAGTCTGTTTTGGACGACTGTGTCTCCCAGTTTTCAAGGCTTTTCCTGTGTTCCAAGTTTTCCTTTTCGGTGTTTGTTCAAAGGAAAGCAACACCCCCACACACACCCGCTTTTACAGTAAACGTAGAAGGCACTCACCACTTTGTAGTATAAATATCCAAGTAGCAAGTGGCTTTAAAAGGGTATATTTGGGAAATGCCTGCTGTGGTCCCATTAAATTTTCGTGGGGTGCCTGGACTTTGGCTTTCACAGTGTATCCTCTCGGGTTGCCAGGGTCTTGCAGTCATTCCTGGCACACATTTTCAAGTACAGGGAGGGTCTCCAAGTGTGCCAGCGCATCTTTACTGATATTTTTTTTGTCGTTTGTTTTGTTTTTCTGTGGCTCGCCTTCCCTTCTTCCTTCTTTAACCCAGTCCTTCTTTCCCTTTGAGCCCGCTACCCTTGAACTGGTTTCTTGGGGAGGGGAAGGCACACACAGCTTCTAATAAAGAAATAAAGCCCAGGTAAGGAGCAAGGTGCGTCCAAGGTAGTGGCGGGTCTCCACCAGCGCGGTAGGGACGCAGTGCCAGAACTAGGTACCAGGTAGAGACAGGGATCCGTGCACCATGGACCAAGGGGCGCTGCAGAGGGTACGGGGACCAGAAGGCAGGCTATAGGGAATAGTTGGAATTGCTCCCCGACGAGGAGGATAGATTAGAAGAGGGGCAGGGTTGAGGGCGATGGCAACTGGAGATGCATGCATGTCAAGGTCATGAGCTGGCGAGTTTTGCTCTGCATGTCCGTAGGGCCAGGACCCCCAGCAGCCAGATGTGTCTGGCTCTGGGACATGGGGTCATTGATGTCACTCCCGGGTGGTGGCGATGGAAAGATCACGGTTCCCAGCAGAGAACCACCCCGGAGCGCCCCAGTGTGGTGCTGCCCTGCTTTCTGGGCCGACGCCTCAGGGCAGATGCCAGCGGGAAGAGGCTCTCGGGCCTGCGGGTCAGTGCCACCACAACAGTGCTTGCTGGTGCTGATGGCCATAGTGACCGCTGTGGTGTTTCCAGCTCAAGCCCCTCCTGGCCATCAGCAACCAGTCCAGCTCAGCTGAGCCACAGTATTACCCCCTCCAAACTTGGCCTCAGCTGCCTCCTCTGACAGTGTGCCCTGCTAGCTCTCTTCCAGCAAAAAGGCAACTTCCCCTGCGCAGGAGGGACTTTGTAGGATCCACAGGATCCTACCCACCCCACCCACTGGGCCGCAGTACTAGTGGGCCCTAGCTTCTCCTCGGGGGCTGGGGTGGGGGGTAGGGGGAAGCAGACCTTGGGGACCCTGAGATGCCAAATGAGGACAACCTGGAGAGGAACGGGAAGGGTTAACTCTTAAGTAGGGAGAGGGAGGACTAGCAGTTGGTCCCTGTTTGCCTGCATTAAGAATCACTTCCACCCTGGCGGCCTTCTCTCCTGGAGTTAGCTTTTCCAGTGAATGAAGGGTGGTGAGGTGCCCTGCAGCCTGGCTCTAGTGGGAAGTCTAGAAGGTCAGGGCTGGAGAACTGTGTACATTTAAAGGGAAAACGATTCGATGCAGATTTCCAGCTCCTTTTCCAAAAAAAAAAAAAAAGGAAAAGAAAAAGAATATTGGCATTTTGGTCTGGAAGAAAAATGAACCACACTGATTTTCCCCACTTTTCATTATTGGACCTTATCTGTGAGTACAGAAAGCAGAATTTACTGTTGTAGGAGCCATGGTAAGTTGATTTCTGAGAGCAACTTGGTGGAAGAAACTGTTTCCAGCTCTCTTATTTCCATAATCTGGAAAGGTCTTTCTGTATGGCAGGATACTTGTGAGGGACCCTTAGAAGTCCAGGGCATTGTCTAGAGGTAATAGTAAAAGTGTGCCCCTGCACAGGACAGTTTGGGTTCATAAATTAAAAGTGAATTCAGTTTTCTCCTGCCATCTTTTCACTTTCTTATGGGAGGAAATGGCAATTTTGGGGTCCTTCTGTGTTAGAGTTCTTGACATTCTTAGAAGAGGTTACCACTACCCCATGGAGATATTTTTGTTATGAGGTATACTGGGTACAAAGAAAAGCTGGTAAAATACTGGCCTCACAGTTAATGTGAGCCTGGATTCCAAAACGAAACCAGTCATCTGCTATTAATCAGGCCGTGTCTCTGCTTCTTGTTGAGGAAAATACAGTGAGGGCTTGCTTCCCTTTTCATCTGCAAAGGCTGTAAAATGCCGAATGCTGCATAAAAACCATTCCCTCCAGTTTTGGTTCAATTAATCAAAATGTGTATGTTCATGCTGGGCATAGTTACATCAGAGAGAAAACCTGCTTCGGCGTTTCAAACAACCAGGGCAGTGACATGTCGCATGGGCGACCTTGCATGTCCATCAATCTTTAATAATATCATTGTCATTACTGTTATTATCTGAAGTGTTAAATTGTTGCCAGAATCAATACAAGTGTGCTTCTTCGGGTGTATTTTATCCCACTGTTGTTTTTAACATCTCTGTCAAGAGACCAATTAATTTCCAGCTTAGAGTACTAGTGAACTTTGTGGCTGGGGGGGGGTTCCTGGCTTTTCTTTCTCCTCCTCCTCCCTCCCCTTCCTTCCTTCCTTCCTTCCTCTTGAAAGAGGACAGAGTAAGTGGTACAGGAAATAAAAATACATCACCTGCTGATTACAGTAATAGGAAATTATTCCTAAACTACAAAAGAATAAAATATTCCCAAACTCCGGGTAATACATGTTAAAATTCTTTTTTTCAGCTAAACATCAACAATTACTCTCCTGAATTCTGTCAGGTCCCAAAGCCCTTTCACACTCACTGGGTTTGAAAGGCCTATTTCCCCCTACGCTGAATATGAAGGCCCCTCACAAAGGAAGAGTCTTGATGCCTCTGTCTGTTTTCTTCTAGATTCGTTGGTATTAACGCATCTGACATCAACTACTCTGCTGGCCGCTATGACCCATCCGTGAAGCCCCCCTTTGACATAGGTTTTGAAGGGATTGGTGAGGTGGTGGCCTTAGGCCTCTCTGCTAGTGCTAGGTACACGGTGGGCCAGGCTGTGGCTTATGTGGCTCCAGGTTCCTTTGCTGAGTATACAGTGGTGCCTGCTAACATTGCCATTCCCCTGCCTTCAGTGAAACCTGAGTATCTCACTCTGCTAGTTAGTGGCACCACTGCCTACATCAGCCTGAAAGAGCTCGGAGGGCTGTCAGAAGGGAAGAAAGTTTTGGTGACAGCAGCCGCTGGGGGAACAGGCCAGTTTGCTGTGCAACTTTCAAAAATAGCCAAGTGCCATGTCATTGGAACCTGCTCTTCGGACAAAAAGTTAGCTTTTCTGAAATCCATTGGGTGTGATCGCCCCATCAACTACAAAGCAGAGGCCGTGCATGCAGTCCTGAAGCAAGAATACCCTGACGGTGTCGATGTAGTCTACGAGTCTGTTGGGGGAGCCATGTTTGACCTGGCTTTGGATGCCTTAGCCACCAAAGGGCGTTTGATAATAATTGGGTTTATCTCTGGCTACCAAAGCCCTGCAGGTCTTTCACCTATAAAAGCAGGAGCTCTGCCGGCCAAGCTCCTGAAGAAGTCTGCCAGTCTCCAGGGGTTCTTTCTGAACCACTACTTCTCCAAGTACCAGGCTGCCATGGAACACTTGCTAGAGCTATATGCTCATGGGGAACTGGTTTGTGAGGTGGACCTGGGGCACCTGGCTCCAGAGGGAAGGTTCATTGGCCTGGACTCCATATTCCGGGCTGTTGACTATATGTACACTGGGAAAAATACTGGAAAACTTGTGGTTGAATTACCTCACTGTGTCAGCAGTAAGCTATGACAACAGAACAATGACACAAACCAAAGGAGAAAGAAAAGGAATTCTCCATGTCTTAGAATGAACAAAATGTATCTTGAAACAAAAGTATAGTGTTAATGAATTCTGCTCCCCCCGTCTCCTTGGGGGTAAAAATAATGTGCCTCAATAAAAGTTCTCTCTATAGCTAAGAGGTAAAAACGTTTACATTCAATTCTTTAGTCATGGACAGTCTCATTCCAGATTTTATTGTTCCAAGGAAGTAAATTAATTCCTGATGTGAGACCTGATCGAGTCAGTATGTCCCCAGCTTGATGAGATTTTTTTTTAAATCAGTCTTCAAATAGCTCACCAAGGCTCCTTTGCTTTGGAAACAGCTGCTCCTAAGTACTTCACAGGTGAGCAAGTAGTGTGGCTCGGCCTGGCATTCTCATGGTCCATATGCTTAGCAAGGACGTTTGGGAGAGAAGTCTCCAGATTCTGGTAAGTTATTGGAAAAGTGAATCAGCAAACACGCATGTCTTAATGACATATATGCTCTTCGGTGGCATGAATTCACATCCTGGTAAGGTTGACTGGTGAAGAGCGTGTTTGTGTCCCAAGAAGAAATGAATATTGGAAACTGTGGGTTTTGGAGGGTAAAGCTATGGTTTGGGGGATTTTGTGAAAGCTGCTGTGTGCAGAGGAAGGGAGAACTGCCTCCTCAGGAGGCTCATGGCCAAGTGCAGTAACAGGGACCACAGCAGGGGCTCACTCGAGCACCTGAAAGGTTAAAAGCAGCTCACTTCCTGTCCCCAAGGAGCAAAAGTCTCATAGTTCCAAACACGGTAGGCACCCAAGTCTTCTAAAATCAACCATTTGCTTCTCCTCAAAGGGGTGGTGTGGAAGGCTTGATCTCGGTGACAGGAATGGAATGGCAGTCTGGTATCCTGTGTTCCCATTTTGCCTGCTCTAGTGCATTCTGTCCATCAGCCTACATGCCGGCTTCTCTTCAAACTACACCGGAGCTGACCTGCTTGCCCTTCACCTTCGGTGTCCAAGGGCTGCCTGCCACTTTTGTCACAGAATCAAAACCCCACGGTGGGTGCCTTTCTAATTGAAGGTGAAGCCTGTCAGATTATTTTCCAGTCTTGGGTTTCAGTACATCAAATGTGCTCAATAAATGGGGATGCAATTAAGAGTACTCTTGTGAAAAGTTGGGGCCAGATTTAATTCTTTCCCTGCATCTGAGGAGCAGAGAGATCCTGTTTCTGAGTAGCTGTTTAGTATCTATTTTACAAGATTTACTCATTTCCAGGTACCTAATGTAGCTGCTAGCATGCATGCACAACAATACAATTTATATGGTAAATGGAACCAAATAATGGCTTCACTGAATGTTATGGCCGCACTGAAGGGAAATGTCACGGTAAATAGCTGCCAAATTATGGATCATGCCGATGTGTCACAACTGCACTAAAGACAAATAGCACTGGAGGCTATTGCCACTGTGACGCTTTTGAGTTATGAAGAAGGGTAGCAGCCTGACGCGAGGCTCTTTGTGTCCTCGTCATAGCAAAGGGCTGCTGGTGCAGGGGACAAGGAAGGCTCGTCCAATGTGGTTCACAGTTGCTAATCTGTCCCTTTCAGACATAGCCACTGTAGCAGGAGAGGCTGTGCTGGCTCTTCTGTATACAAACATAACAAACGGGGAGGGAGGGCAGGTTTTATGAATGTTCGTATGCTCAGGAAATGACTGGTAATGGAAAAATGTTGTAATAAAATAATCTAATCAAAGACTATTATTAAATTTAACGTAGTATGTGTCTGAAAGGCTCGGTTGCTTCCTATGCAGATAGATGTGTGAAATCTCGGTGATAATGCACTCTCCCTCTGAAAAGGCTTCGGGACGGAGGACATTACCAACTAAATTGCCTCTTCTAAACTGAAGTGAGTCCCGGTTTCCTTCATTTTAATGGGAGGGTAATAAAGATGAAAGACCAACATTTTATCTGATGGATCCCTTAAGCTACAGAATAAAAATGTATTATGTTTTGAGGGAATATACTAAATTCGGCTACGTAAAAGTAAAATTCAAACACCCAGGTTTAAAATAAAACAGCATTAAAAAAAAAAAAAGAAAGAAAGAAAAAGAAACCTCATGTCTTTCTGTCCCCAAATAGAGAAACTATGGTACTTGCTGTTTTCATTTATTCTTAGAAAACAAGCATGAATGATTCTGCCTATTCCAATAATCCCAAAATATGTTTTAAAAGTTTTTTTTTTATTCTTGTGAAAAGGGATTTTTAAAATTAGGGTTATAAATGAATATTAGTTTGGTCCCCTCGGGTTGTTCTTAAGGCCCAGTCACTAATGGGAGGTGAAGCGATATGAGGGTCTATACTCTATGGTGTCCCATATCACAAAAAGTGCATTCATAATTCAGATCCATTGTCAGCCTTGCTCTAGGGAAGGGACAAGGGCAGGGCATCAGTGTGGGATAAATGATTTCTCAGTCCTCAGTGTGGCCTTCTCACATCATTCATTCACCAGGAAGGTAGGCCTCAGTGTTAGGTCAGGACTTCTGAAAAGTCAAACTGTTTCAAATGCACAAATGCACAATGTAATTCCTGGCCCTTTTCACAATAACTACAGATGCTGATTGATTTCAACACACGCACACACACACACACACGCACACGCACACGCACACACACACACACACAAATCCAGGAACTGGTTTGCAAAGGAAGATTGGTTCTATGTGCTGCTATGTCTGACTGCACCAGGATGGAGTTTATCAGGAATAGAATGGAGCCCCTGTAGATGGCCATTAGTATTTGCTTCAGTATTTCTCTACTGCTAGTGTGTGAGAAGTAGCTGCAGCTTATTACAGTGAAACCCTGCACTGTGTGTGGAGGAGAGCCACAGCTAATGAGGCCGTAATGTCCCAGTGCCATGAAAACCTTCTTTCTGTGTCCCTACCACAAGATGCTGGAAACTTGACAGATGATATCACTTAAGACACTGCCTGCCTTAGGGACCTGTTTCTTGGCTTCCTGTTTTGGGCTTTTATTTGGGTAACATTTATAATGGCCACCTGACTTGTACCTGTAATGTCTTAACCCCTTGTGGAACTCACAGGCTGCATAAATTTACCAGTCAAGGTCCCCTTTAAAACGAGGCTTTGTGCAAAGGCCAGAGACTTTACTTGATTACTTTACCACATGTTCCCATGGAGTAAATACCATATTTCAGATCCTATAAAGTCAGACCAGCAACATGCAGCTTCCAGAATAAATTTGATAAGACCTAGGACTGTCCATTTGCAACTTTAATTTCCTGAGCTCTACAGATTTTATGGGGCTGCTCACATGCAAAATGGCCTGATTTGATGAACTTATACTTACTCATCTATACTTCTTAAAAAATTTTGTTATTTATAATAGTTATGTAAATATAGTCATGCAAACTTAGTTTTTCAGGTTGGGGTTTGTTTTATTTGAGGACATTTTGTTCTGTTTTGGTTTTTATTTGGACAGCATCTGCAACCACAATGTCTTAGAACCCAGTATTTGAGATCACAGAACAGAAGCCAAAGTGCATAGCTTGATTTTCAATAACACAACACTGCTGTAAGCTTGAAATTCTGGGCTTTTTCCTAGCCTTTTAACACCACACTATTTCAACTCAGAAGGAGACTGTTCACTGTGAGAACCTTAACTACTGTTACCGTGAGCAATCTAGAAGAGGTTGCTCCCACCCAAGCCCTAGAAAAACATAACACACAACACAAAACAATGTCTTGCCAGTATGTCATTTCAAGAAGTTCTTGTAGCAAAGAGCTGATATGAAAAAAAAAAAAAGTCAAGTACAGTGTATATCTTGATTGTGTAAGCCTGTAGCTTCTGTTTAACTCTTCACTGGGACCCAGCAGCCAGTGACGCATGTCTGGCAATAGTGTTAAGCAATGTTTACTTGGATATGCTAGCTTTGCCCTTTGTAGACTTTCCCTTCTGTGCAGGCCCCCATCCCAGGAGGTTGGGATGAATGGAGGAAACATATCATGGGTCCCGCAAGCAGTAGGGTAAGTGCTGTACAGAGGACGGTTTAGGGAAAAACCAATATGTTCTTCATGTGTGCTGAGAAGCCCTGAGCCAGAAGTTTGGAGATCTGAATAGCCCCCCAAAGGAAGCGCCTCCCTCAAAGTATCTTTCTGCCAACACAAAATTAAAATAATAATTAGAACATACCCTGCTGTTGGGTGGCAGCATCCAGTACAAAAGACAGACCTGTGCTAAGGGCTCAGAAAACAGTCTGGTGACACTGCTGAAGTGGCAGGCACCCTCTAAACACAGCAGTCAGGGTCCGAGTGATTCCTATTAGCAGTTCCTGTGGTCACTGGAAGTGACGCAGGATGTCCCACTCACTTGACAGCACTTGACCTAAGACCATATGCGCCAACCCCCAGCATTCCTTGCAGGCTCACAGGTGCCACTTCCAGCAGAAACACAGATCTGGAAAGTGTGTCTTTCCCTAGCTTTAAAAAACTAAGACCAAATGTTACTTGGTAACACTAGAGTTTGAAGAGTAATCTAGCGCTACCCATTTCTCAAATGTAAAGCTGGGCCTAGGAGGAATGGGCACTTTGTCCAGTCAACATCAGAGAGTCCCTAGACTCAAAAGATAGAACTCAGGTGGATCCCCTCCCAGACTGCACAGTCCCCTTTGCCAGGGGCCAGGGTCCTTCAGCATATGTTTCAGAACCATGGCTGGACTTTGAGAGGAACCTTCAAATGAATGGGAGTATGGCAAACCCAGGGAAGGTATCATGTTTAGACTTCGGTAGATTTGGGGCTCTAGCAATTTGGTTTACCATCTAAACCTACTAGGGCTGGAGTAATAGCTCAGTGGGCAAAGGACCTGTCTTGCAAGCATGAAGACCTGAGTTTGATCTATAGAACTTTTGTAAGAAGCCAGGCATGGCGGTGTAAAATTGTAATCCTAGCACCGAGGAAACAGACATTGGAGGATCTTGGGGACTAGCTGGCAAACCAGCCTAGCCTAATCAGTAAATCCTAGGTCACGGTAAGAGACCCTGTCTCAAAACACAAGGAGGAGAGTTCTTGAGGAATGAAACCTGAGGTTAACCTCTGACCTCCACAGGCATAATACACACACACACACACACACACACACACACACACACACACATATATACAAACATACTCTCAAAATCACACACAAATTAAAATAACAAATATCACACACTATTTAGTTTTTACTATTAAAAGGTCAACATGTCCTTAAATACCAGAATTACCAGCACTGTGTACTTTTTACTGGATAGAATGAGTTTGATGCTCATTTTTGCCTATCAGAAACATCATAACTGGCCGCCAGAATATTGGCTGTTGTAGCAAAATGTCTAAAATTTGAATTTGCTATTCTAACTGAAATCCAATATTTCACCTTACAAGTTCAGCCCATGAGGAAGGGCATATTCCCCCACTGGTATCAGCAGTTGCCTGAAGGTGAGGGGTGTGCAGAGAGGAGACCCCAATGGGTACAAGCTTCCTGCTAGGCTGTGGTAAGAACCTCACACAGATCATAATTAATGCTAAGGGGGAAAAGACATTGAACATTCGTGTCTTTCCTCATCATTTCTACCTTTCTTCCCTCAAACTCATGCATAACAAGCAGTAAACTTTCAGCTTTACACCAGCGAATCCTCTCCCAACATAAGCCACTTTCTTTTAATGTTGAAAAGCCACTTCCTGAGAACAGCAACAATGTCAGAGGCAATCACGTTTGTAGGAAGCCTCATTGCTCACCAGGGGATGGTAGCAATAGTGTTCCCTCTACATGTGGCTGGAATTTACATTTGGAAATTGAATTGTCTCCTTGAGGGCTTTTACTCAATGCAAGTTTGGGGGAATTACTTACACCCCGGTACATCAGTGTGTAGGGAATGAAGCTGAGTTGAAGGAGCCCCCTAATCACTTCAGCTGTTAAAAATAAAAAAACAAAACAAAAACAACTCTTCATTGTCCAGAAGTCAAAACTAAAGAATCAGTACTGAATAATATTCATCATTTCAGGTTTGATGCATCTTTAGGCATCTGGGGACTTACAGTTTTTTTTTACATGTTTGAATACTATCTTCACAGTGGTATAGATACTGGTGCGTCAACCCCACATCCACTTTAAAGGTGGACACACACTTGATGATGGCTCATGTCATCGCTGTCTGACTTGGGACAGTCATCAGACTAAGACCAAATCTATTTTTCTCAAGAATGGTGTTTCTTCTTGTGTTGTGATATGTACACAAGTCACCTGCTAAAATGATAGTGAGGGGTGGACATAGGAACTTGCATCTCCCAGGGGGACGCTGACACTGCTGGCCTGGGAGCCTTGAGTGCTGAGGTATGTACTCACACAGTCTCTGCAGAGACCTCTACCCTGCACCTACTGCAACCATGACAGCAGCTGCCCTCTACTATTACATTCCCAGCTTCTCCAATGGAGCAGCCCCTCGATGCCCAGCTGTGAACACAGATTCCATCTGATGCCCATGGAGCTCTGACAGCCTTTCCTTACAGCTCCACAAAGGGCACAGTCCTGGGACCCCCACTCCCAGCTGTCCTGTTCTGAAAGTTGAATTCATTGTAACACCTACACTCCCTGTCCCCTGGCCTAGGACCACCATTTATACTTCAGTCCTTTATATTTATAGCATAGCACCAAATAAAAATGCCAGCAGGCCTCTGCACAGATAGTGAATGAGCTCTGTATTTTACAATTTCCCCATG